CTGGTTTTTAAGTGATCCTTGATAGTTATTCAATATTTAAAGAATATGTTTGTCATTCAATATTTATTTTATATAATAATAATAATAAATAATAATAATAATAATAATAATAATAATAATAATAATAATAATAATAATAATAATAATATATACATAAATAAAAATCAATTAATCAAATTTTAACCCTCCTGGAGAATAGAATATTTGGAATGGAAACGCATAAGATTTTTTTAAAAACACATTAAAACGAAGAGAAATAAAAAAGGAAAAGAAAGAACAGATAAATAAAGTAACCACATAACTAAACCATGGTTAGCCATGAGTCGGTCGTGATAAGAGCTAATTTTGTAATCCAACGGTGAGCCATCGATCACATTCTCAATCAGACGCCGGTTGGAACTCCACACCATTAGCTTTTGCTGCTCCTTAGCTCAGAAACAAATTGGGGAATAGGGTTTTCTCTCTTCATGTATTCATCGATTTGATCGATGGAAATGGATTACGTAACGGAGTATCCACATTCCTACATGGATCGTCGTCCTAAGAAACGTCCAAGATTAGATTGGGATCCTTCACATACTCCCAAGGTACACCTTTTTTTTCTGTACTTTTTTCGTATTTTTGTTGTTATTGATTTTAACCTTTTCTTCGTTCGGAGAATGGAACATATGTAGCTATTTTTGAGGATTTTGATTGGAATTGAAGTCATGGTTCAATGAATGTTTTGGTCTCATTGATTCTTTTCTGTTTTTTGATGAGATGTTGTTGGGAAAAATGAGAAATATTTGGTGGAATTTTGAGTGTTTTGATTACATTAGACAATGAATGTTCTGGTGTTAATTGATTTTTTTGTTTTGTGAGAAGTTCGAAAAATGACATAAAAAGTGGTAGTTCGATATTGAGTATTTTGATTTCAATTGAAGTTCTTGTCCCATGAATGTTTTGCGAGCCATGTTATGATGAATTAAGATAGGATATTAGAGGAGAAGTTGATGTTTAAATTATTGACTCGAAACTTGTAGTATAAAATGAATAGCAGTAAAATTTTGTTTATTTGATTTGGATCTGATATTTTACTCCATTTGGGGACTTTTACTTTGAGGGGGAAGAAAAACATAGAAGTTTTTTTCACTGAAATCTGTAATTTTTTAATAAAAAATATAGCTTTTTCTAGAGGTTCTTTTGAGTGTCATTGGCATTTGAATTAGCATGATTTAAAGATGAATTGAATCATAATGAAAAAGGTACAAACCAATCCCAGTAGAATAGGAAGATTTATGCGATATAAACTGAAAGGTGTAGTGGTATTTGACATTGGTGAGAGTATTTGTTACTGGACAAAGTTTTATAAAATGAAAATCATGTCAATAATTTTGTAGTGATTTAATAGTTACGTCCAGCTTAGTAAGTTTGTTGAGTTGGGAATTGTGTAAAAATATCCATCTTGGTTGTTACTCTTTCAAAATTCAGTTTAGTGTTAAATATAGGGTAGGTTTTATGTTATATCTTTTTCAGAAGAATATGAACCAATGGTTGTCTGTAGGCTCAGTCAGGAATTTATTATGGGCAAGAGGTTGGCAATTCATCGAGCTATGTGCATTCAAGATTACTACCTGATCATGATAATTTATATGTAAAAGGACTGGCTCAAAAAGGCTCTCCTCCGCGGCGAGAAGATGACAAAGATGGACATTACATGTTTGAGCTTGGAGAGAATTTAACAACTCGCTGTAATTACTTTTTTTCATCGCCATGTTATATATGTCTAAGGCTCTGCTTAATCAAAGTAAATGTTAGGTTCTTTCTGGTTGCTCTTATATTCCAGTTCTTTCTGGAATTATGTGTTAGATTCGTGCTGAAGTCAATCATTTTGTCCATAAGAAATTGTGTAATTATGATTTTCTAGGTAGCAAATAGAAACCAGAAAATGCATAGAAAATAAATTTTTCTTCTTGATCATTATGCGTAAAAGTATATGGAAGTATCCCCCTTTTTTTATGCAAGATATATCTTTACTAATTGAAGAAAGTGAGTAAAAAAACAATAGGTGAGGATTACTTCTTCTTCTCAACAATCCATTTCTCTGCCCAGGCATAATAAATGACCATCATGGAAGTGTAAGAAATGAGGTTGTACATTGTTTTATAGATGTATGTGCTTGTATAAACATCAGGAGTCGACCTTCCTTCCCATCCTAGTGTGGGCAAATCAAGGAGTGACACATCTCTTCTCCTTTGCAGAATACTGGAAGCTTTTTGAAATGTCAAAATTTATTTCTCATCATGTCTATGTTTGACTGCATATTTTCAACACCTTTAGTTTAGTTGCATTCAAGTATAAGTCTGTTCCCTCCATAATGTTCTTACACAATTTCATTCCTGTAATTGCAGATAAAATTCTCAAAAAGATCGGTGAAGGTCAGTCTATATTTTCTTTTCCTGATTTATTATATAAAATATCACTTTTGTTTGGCCATGGATCTTTTTCTTCAATGTTTTATTATTCACCAGGTACCTTTGGTCAAGTTCTAGAATGCTGGGACAGAGAGCAGAAGGAATTTGTTGCCATTAAAATTATCCGAAGTATAAAGAAGTATCGTGAAGCAGCAATGGTAGAAATTGACGTGCTTCAGCTGCTAGGAAGATATGATAGGGGTGGAAGCCGGTATGTCTTGTCTATGTTGAATAAACTAGCTCTTCATATAAATGCAAGTTTGTGTGTGATGGTTAAAGAAATTCCTTCTTTGCAGTTGTGTACAATTACGGAACTGGTTTGATTATCGTAACCATATTTGCTTAGTAAGTACATTACTGATTTGTAGTAACCTGATATCCCCAACTTTGCGAATTCCATGGGGACTTAAGACTTGCAATGAATTTAATGGTCTTAACAGGTATTTGAGAAGCTTGGACCAAGTTTATTCGATTTTCTACGGAAAAACAGTTATCGCGCATTTCCAGTTGATCTAGTTCGTGAAATTGGGAGGCAATTGTTGGAATGTGTAGCATGTGTGTGGTCTATACTTCTTCATTTCACTTTTCTAGTATGAGATACTTGGCAACTTTTTGTTCTCTTGCTCTCAAAGAGTTAACCTATTGCATTTTACTTTTGCTATTTTGTTAGTTAAGTCACTGCCTTTATATTGCCACCACTGTTTCGAAGACACTTCGTCATTGACTGTGAATGCTTATTGTGTCCTTTGTTTGCAGTCATGCATGATATGCGTCTCATCCATACAGACCTTAAGCCCGAGAATATACTCTTTGTTTCTGCAGACTACATAAAAGTGCCCGACTACAAGGTATTTTAGGTTCTGTTTCTCAAGCTCTTAAGATTGTGTTATACTCTTTTAACGACTAGAATTAACTAGCCCTCTGAAGATCATGCCACATCATTTATAGCTCTGTCTGTGTATGTTCCTTTACTTGCTTTTGCAGGGTACACCATGGTCACACAGAGACAGATCATTTTATAAAAGGTTACCAAAGTCAAGTGCTATCAAAGTAATAGACTTTGGTAGCACTGCTTACGAACGACCAGATCACAACTATATTGTGTCCACACGACATTACCGTGCACCTGAAGTTATTCTTGGTGGGTTTAGATTTTCTTCCCCTCTGCGAATTCTCACTAATTTTAGCATTGATCTCTAACTTGATTACTGGGCTTTATGTTTGTTTCAGGTCTTGGATGGAGCTACCCGTGTGATTTATGGAGCGTGGGCTGCATCTTGGTAGAACTATGCTCGGTATTTGCTAGCATCTGATCTCATCATTAATCTGTTTTTTGAAGTCAGATGTTTATATGTTGATGGAAAATGCACTAGATACTAGGTATTCATGTGGGGTGGTTTTGCAGGGTGAAGCTTTATTCCAGACACATGAAAATTTAGAGCACCTGGCCATGATGGAAAGAGTACTGGGTCCATTACCATCACAAATGTTAAATAAAGTGGAGTGAGTGTGGTTTTATTATGTTCATGTCATCTGTTATTATCAGCAATCAACTTAATTCTTTTTTTATTTGGATAGTCGACATGCAGAGAAATATGTAAGGAGGGGTAGATTAGACTGGCCTGAAGGTGCCACTTCCCGAGAGAGCATAAAGTCTGTAATAAAGTTGCCTCGTCTCCAGGTAGATCAACAATTGGTGTTTTCCTTTTCCACTTGTTTTTTATTCACCAGAATCTTACATACATTCTCTGGGCTTTGCTGCAGAATTTAGTGATGCAGCATGTTGATCATTCAGCTGGTGATCTTATAGACCTTTTGCAAGGTCTCCTTAGATTTGACCCATCTATCAGAATGACGGCACGTGATGCCCTAAGGCATCCTTTTTTCACTAGGGACCAATTCCGGAGGTTATAAGAGGATGCATTTTTGTTTGTCGTCGCTCCTGCATCAGTTGTCCATACCTGTATTGTAATCTCAAGGTATCGAATTATTTGGCATTTCTATGAGAAGAGAATATAGTTAGTGAAGTTACGTGCCTCGTATGAGGGAGAACTTGTATGTATTATGCTTGAGAGAATGTCCACTTTCACCATCTCTCAAGAAATTCTATTGTTGTGGCAGTCCCAATTTTTGTTCAGAACCTTAGCCTTTTTGCAATTGCAATAAGATAATTACATGATCTGTCTCTTTACGCCTCGATAGTAAAACATTACATTGCATTTGGACTTGTCTTGCAACCTCTAGTTCGCATCTCTATGTAACCTATATGATTCCATGATTATGCAGGTGTTGAAAAATCCATGTATTAGTGTTTTTGTTATATGAATGCTGTGTTCTAGTTTGAACATTCGGCAAATAAGCTGTCACCTCAGGGCTCAGTGCCCTTCCCATTCTATGTAGTTGAGGAATAAAATAAAAGCAATATAAAGCTCCTCCAATATATAAAGGTGTTGTGGGTAAAATTGACAGAGGAAGTACAAAGAATGGTAAGAGGTAATAAAGCCCCAAATCATATATTTTGACAGAAAATAGAATAGAGAACCAAAACATGAGAGAAAGAGCAGCCAGCACAGGTAACTGAAGCCATTTCTTGAAGTCAAAATAATAAGCTCTGTTGACTGTTAGCGCTTCGTTGTGCACTTTCTGCCAATCAAGACACCAGTTGGAGGGCTGGTAACCACAATAGTGCACTGGGCATACAACCAGTAGGAGTATTGAAGGAAACTCCCTAAGTTAGACCTTGCTCTAAACAATCCCTTCACTTCGAACTTCACTCTTCCATTATCCACTTCTTTCTTCAGTTGTTGACTTTGTTCCAAAGAAAGTCTCACTTGGCTGCTCACCAAGTGTACATCTTGAAACCTCGACTCATGGCTCATTGTCGAGAAAGGGTCCATGTAACTGGAAGCCAATAGGTGTCCACCATGATAAAGATCAAGAATGGCGTAATGGAAATCCACCCTCCCTTTCTTGTTTGGATTTGTGAAGTTCGCTAGTATAGTAAGGTCAGCATTAAGGAGGTATCCCATGTCAAGATAGGCTGCATTGAGTGTGGCACTAGTTATGTCAAACTTTGGATTTCTTGGGCGAAATACAAGATATATGATGAGGATTGCTAGGCCAGCTACTATTACCATGACCCAGAAAAGTGCACAAAAACCTGCAACTAGCCATGCAAATGGCCTAGTTTTACGCCTAGTGGGTACTCGCACTAGACCTGAACAAAGTAGTCAAAGGTGAAAAGCTCAAAAAAGCATCAAAGTTTGTTGGTAATTACACATAACAATTATATGTTCAAAAGAGTAGAAAACTGCAATGAATCATAGATATTTACGCAGTTAAAATCATGTCAATAAGCTCAAAATGTAGTGTTAGGTTTTTATACGTAGCTGGCATCCTATACTAGATCCCTAATTTCTTGTTCTTAATTGATAAAAGTTCAGTCATGACGTTTTCTTTGCCAACAATTGATGTATCACTTTGTTAACCAGATTTAGAGTCTAGTACTAGTGTTGTTAAAGACTGAGCTCATCAGTGATGATGCATCCTAGTACGCTAAAGCAGGAATTAAGCAAAGTGAAGCAAACTATTTGGGCTTCACTGAGCTTCAGGGTTTTAGTGGGCCTCTTGACAACATTTGGACTCACCTGAAGAGTGACGATGATGTTGGCTATGTGGTCGAGATCCTGAATGTGGCTGCTGATGTCGTGGTGGTGGTACTGGTGTTGGTAAGTGAGAGTTATGACCAGTATGTGGTTGTGGTCCTGAATGCAGCTGTGGCTGGGAATGTCTTGTTGACACTGGCATTGTTGGACTTGGAAAATAAGAATCACCAGGAGAATGTGGTTCATGTGGTGTTTGATTTTTTGCATTAGAAGGTGGAAATTGAGAAGAGAAAGGAGGATGTTGTGGTTCATGTTGTTCAAGTGGAGGAACATGTGGTGGAAGAAAATAAGGGTTGGTTTCGCGTTGGCGGGACATTATGATCAAAATTTGGAAATGGAAGACAAGATGAAAGTTTGAAAACAAATACAAAGTTATTGTTGTTGTTGTTGTGAAGAAGATGGCTTCATGAAGACTTGTATTAGAAAGTTGGATTGATGAAAAGGCAAGGAATAAGAATTAAGTGAAGCAAAGAAGGCAAGTAATCTTAATTTGATGCCTCCTCTTTTTATATCTTACTGCTACCACTTAACTTTTTGGCACCGAAACATAATGTCCAGTTCTTAATTTGTATGCTTACCTTCTTTTAATTAGGGTGGGTCTTAGTTATTGATTTTCACTAATATTTATGCATTGATATTGTGAAAGATATTAAAGGATCAGGTAATTAAGAGGCATTCATTGACTAAATTTTATACAATTTGCAAATAATGGCTATAATTTAAATAGCTGTCCTAAAAGTGGCTAACAGGTGCAACTTACATCAGTAATATAGCGATGCTCCACATCATATGGGATTCTTCTTCTTTTTTTTAACTAAAACACATTTTATTACCAAAGTGGCAAAGTACAGCTCAAAAAAGAAAAATAACATCAGGCCTTACTCTAATTCCGCGGACATGCCTACTAAATCACTATGCATAATCTCCCTATTTCCTAACAACAATTTGCTAAACTAGATAGTAATTTAGTTGATTCAAGCACCTAGCTAGCTTTCCATGCATGGTTGCTCCATCATAAACCTCTTGAATAATCTTTCTCACAATGATATCATGGCAGCGACGTGTATTTTGAGAAATTCTATGATTTCTTTCTAGCCACAAGTGTCATTCTGAAAATAGTAGCAGCATTGCCCTCGCCTTTACACATAGTTTCATACAACTGTATTTCTCCAGCTCAGTTCATAGCTTGTCGATGGATTCCTTGTCAATGCAATACTCTTCTCCGCAAGCTACAAAACACTCAAAAAATAAGTGTTCTATATAGAGGGCAGACCTGCATTCCAAATTTTAATTAGCATCCTATCTTTAGTACATAGTCTACCATGAATAGACACATATAAGATGAATAACCACTTGGTAAGTTTGGATTGTTGCACATTAGTCTCCTCCAAGGCACACTCGGGTGGACACCTATCAACTCCTGGTACATCACTTTGATTGAGAACGTGTGTATTTGTAGCAACTCAGTTTCAGTCATATACATATCTCATTAATGTATGTTTGTGCCTTCAATATCTTTTGAACTGTCCAGCATGCTTGCTTTGGCATTGCACCCCACAATGATCCACTTTATCATATGGATTTTTATATGGGCCTTTAGTGATCTTGTGCCTCATATGTGTTTGTTTGGTTTTATTGAGGCAATTACGCCTAGTGTCTCCCAAAGTGTTTGTCCATGTATTTTATTCCCGTTTAATTGAAAAAAATTACAATAGCAATTCATGCGTTCAGTACCATGTGAAAGTAACTTCATGTGTCACTTCCTTTGTGGTGTCTAATAAGTGCAATTATTTTAAATTGTACTGTTAGATAGGTATAAAGTTGGGTTTAGGTGTGTAAGTGAATTTTATAGACAACTTTAAGGAGTCATCAATGATTTGATCTTTGTAATACTGAATCATTCTAAATCCATAAAAAAAACTGCTAATTTCTATTCTACTTTTTATTAATTTTTCATAGCACGGAAAGTAGCATGTTTCTTTTAAAAATTAAATATATTTTTTGAAAGGTAGTCACATGCATTACCAACTTAAATAAACAACTATTATTAACTCACCGCATATGACTATTTTAGATTTGGTTTGTGTATGGAAATTTGAACTATGTACCTCAAACACATACGTACTTTTTCACGTAAATTGCCTATCTCTATAGTTGTTAACTTAAAAGTTGTGCAAAATCTTCCTCTTGGTTAAGAAGATTTTGTCCACATCATGGTAACGTCTTACACACTTAATTTGAAGATAAATTTGAAAATCACACAAAGTTAATAGGAGAAGAAGATCCAACTAGAATGGTAGTGATTAATGGTATGTTTGGTATAAAAGAAAATATTTTTTTAGTTTATTTTTTCTATGTTTATTTAATCAAAATATGTTTTTTTTCTCTAAGAAATAAGTTGTCTAATGATCAGGAAAAGTTAGAATTCATTGAAGAAAAGATGCAAGTAACAAGACTGAAAATATAGATGAAAATTTGTCTCACAATTTGTATTGACCATAACGCTATATATATCACAATATGTCATGTGTATCTCTTGTATATATCCTATGTATGTCAAATGTATCACCATTATATACACGACCTACGTGCAATATACAAGCTATACTATATATTGTGTTCTTGTTCAACCTTAAAATTCAAATTCAAAACCTAATCAAATCTTTCTAAACTTTGAGATATAAGCACCTTAAGATATTTTCAAGATTTTGAAACTACACCTAGTCGAAAATGATTTCGATTTTGTGAATATGATTTCAGCGTCATCAATGGTTGCATTTTTACATATTTTTACAAACCTAAATTTAAGCTTCATCAATGGGTGCTAACTCTGGTTCTTCATGTGTAATTGAATATCTCTATATATAGTGATTCCTCCAATTAATTATCATATGCTTATTCGATTATAAATAAGGGCAAAATACATATTTATGTAATATGTTCTTTTCACAATTTGAATTAGTCATGACCTTTTGATCACACGATCGACGATGATAGCAAGGACTTTTACTATTGCATCATTAATTTGAATATGCAATGCATGATGGATAGTTTTATGATGTAACTTGAACAATATTTAATTTATATTCCAAAAGACTAAATATTCTAAAACCTTTTGTCTTGTGCAAGGTAGAATATAAACCAAAGTTGAAGTTTCCTTGGCCACTTTCCTTGACTGGAAAAATGCATGCAATAACAATAATAATAATAATCCAAATGGGAAACTACCATATATATTCCAAATAAATGACAATCACTCACATCACTAAACTTATAGTGCATTGCGCATATTCGTTTTTATCCCATTCTTCACACATCACAATCCTTATGTATTAAAAAAAGACAAATAATCATCTCCCACTATATATATCACTAAGACACTAACCACTATTTTTTCTGTTTTAATTTATGTGAAAAATTAAAAATCGAATTTACTTGTGATAAAAAAAATCCAAACAAATTATATTGTTAGTTCTAGTTGTTTAAGTAGGTAAAACTATTGATGTGGGGTGTCCTTTGAACTGTTCAAACATCAGCAAGTGTCAACTTGTGTGCATTAATTTCAATTTTGTAATGTCAATTAACATATTTTTATGAGTAAAATTTGCTCATCTTATATTAAAAAAACCAACTGCTCTTCTCTTTTTTTTCTTGTTTCTTAGAGATGGATTATAATTAATAAGGGAGTTATTTGAGTGTCAAATACTTTTTCTGTCCTATTTACATGTCATTCTTATTAAAAATAGATGTTCATTAATATTTGTCATTTCATAAACTAATACATAAATAACACTATTCTTCCTAATTTACCCTAGAGAGTTATTAGTTTTGAAAATATGAATTTGACTCATGGTCAATTTAAAGTAAATATTATTTTTATTTTTTTATATACCCTCTCTAGGAGCTCCCACCCTTTTGCTCCCTTGGTGACTTTAACTCGCAACCTTCGGGTTAGAAGTGAGGGGTGCTTACCATCCGAGCAACTCCCTCTCGTCCAATTTAAAGTAAATATGTCTATGTTCATTTATTGAAAGTTTGACTTCAAGAAATAACTAAATAAAAGTATAATGGTAAATTTACGTAATTTTTTAAGAAACATAAAATCTAAAATGATGATATATATATAGAAACGGAGGGAGTAAAAGATAAAAATCAATTGCCAGTTGGAGTCCACAGTCCAGAGTCTACTAGCAGTATAGGTTAGAACGTTGAACGTTGCCACTTGCCAATCAATTTATTTGACTATGATAGCAACTAATCCTTTTCTTTTTTTAAAATTCAATAAATCCAAATATTTAGTACTATAATATATGAAAACAATAATAATGCAATAAAAGAATTAAATTTTAATGTGGTTGGTTTCTCTAATTCTACATGCCTTGGGTTGATTATTATAAAGAAAGTCCAAGTTGTAGGTCGGCAGTTTTAATTTGACTTTAATATTCATTTTGTTCCATAGTAATTGATCATTTTTTATTTTATACGGTATTTAAGAAATCATAAATAAAAAATAATTTTATTAATTCATTCTTTAAAAAACTTCTTAAGATTTTACAAACAAATGTGAACACTTTCAAAAATAATTATTTACAAGTGTAACATAAAAAATGTTATTTCATTTGTCTCTAATTACTTGTCCACTTTTGAATTGACACACTTATTAAGAAAATAATGATTGATATAATGAATTTACCATTTACCCCTTAATTATGAAGTGGATGAATTAAAAATTTAAAATTTTCAAGAAGTTTTACCATTTTTTAAAGTAATTAATTGAAGGTATAATAGATAAAAAAGAATTGTCATTTTTTAATTTATCAAAATGGACAAATAAAAAGAAACAAGTAAAAAAGGAAAAATGAACAAGTTATGAGAGAGAGAGGCAGAAGAAATAATTAATACTTTCTTAATTTAGTAGAGTGGACAATTATTTTTAAAATAATGATAACTAGTACTATGAAACAGAGGGAGTAACTTTTTTTTTTCTTGTCTATATTAATTTTCTTTCTTCATTTTGTCTTGTGGTTGCCTTTCCTTATATCTCTCAATCTCCCCACTTGGCTGGAATTTCACAGTGTATATTCTTCTTTTTTCATGAATTTCAATCCCTTTTAATGAAATAGTTCTTGGACAAAAACTACAAACGCTTAGTAAAAAATACCACCACTTCAATTAATATATATAGAATTAGTGTCTCGTGAGGAGATTGATGGAGTAGTATAGAGGAGAAAAAAAAGACTTATATATGATGCTTATTGATTTTTAAAAAAATATACAACGTACAAAGTTCTTATGGAGATTTATAAAGATATTTTAAGTCTAGAAATGTATATGTAGCTTTCATTAGGGCGATTAAAGACATGTACTAGAGAGTTAAAACTTGAGTGGATCTAGTGGGAGGAGACTCAAGCCCTTTTTTTTGTTGAAATGGGGTTGCACCATGAATTAACTCTAAGTTCACTATCTTTCATGAGGTATATCCAAGGGGAGGTGTGTCATGGTGTATGCTATTAGCATATGACATAGTATTGAGACGAGACATGCGACAAAGTTAATAATAGGGTGGGAATTTGAAGACAAACCTAGGAGTCTAAAGAATTCGGGTTGAGTGGGACTAAAATAGAATACTTGGAGTGCAAGTTCAATAACGTTACTCATGTGGAAGATGAGCGAGTGAGGAATGATAATCAAGTCATTTCTAAGAATGAAAGTTTTAAGTATATTCTATAATTCATGGGAAAGGGGAGATTGACAATAATGTTACATATCATATATATTAGAGTGTGGTGGATGAAGTCAAATTTAGTGTCTTGTGTGATAATGTATCACCAAGACATGGTAAGATTTATAAAGTGGTTGTTATACCAATCATGTTATAGGGCAGAGTGTTGGCTGGTCAAGAATTGACACATCTATCCATAAGATGAAAGTAACGAAAATGAGGATATTTGAGATGGATATGTGGACATGCTAAGAAAGATAGGAGTAACAACAAATACATTTGGCATAAAATGGAAGTAGCCTCTGTGGTGGACAAAATGAGAGAGACGGGATTAAGATGGTTAGGGCATGTAAAGAGAAGATGCATAGATGCCCCAAATGAGGAAGTGTAAGAGGTTGACTATAATAGGTATGAAGAGACGTAGAGGTAGACCAAAGAACTATTGGAGAGAGGTAATTAAATAGGATATGACACACCTTTTTAGCTTACCGAGGACATGACCCTAGATAGGTGGGTATAGAACATGAAGATTAGGTAGAAGGTTAGTAGGTATTTGAGTGTTGTCTAGCTTTCTCTACTACTATTTAATTCTTCGATTTTGTTACTTGTTGTTTCATTTACTTGTTTGTCATTTTGTTAGTGTTCTTCTCTTTTATCTTTTATCTTTTATTTTTAGCATGCTTTTTTTATTACTATATTGTTTTTCATACTTGAGTTCGATATGTTTTACTTTAGTTGATGATTTATCGAAAACATTTCTATCTTTACAAAGTAAGAATAAAATTACATACACCCACTCTCCTCGACCCTCACGTAATTAAAGTGAAAAATCAAATCACTTAATATATTCAAATAGCAAAAGTTTATATTCAAAGATCAAAACACATATATTAATGAATTATTATTTTTGTGCAAGTATCAAACACGATTGTATTTTTACCTTTATCATTTTTTTGTCTACTAAGGAATGTGATATTAGCTAATATTATCATGATATAAAATTTGATATATCTTAACCTTTATTTAAGTTATATTTTGAATCTTTCAGAGATAATTCATGCATTAATAATATATCATTTGTTGTATTGTTTTTATACCTAATAGCATGAAATAATTTATTATTTATTGGTTTTTTAGTCGGTATTTGGTACTTGTATTAAAGTTTGATTACAATTGAATTTGAGTCGTATAGGGCCCCGAGTAAGTGTTTCCTACCAAAGCAGGATCGTCTTAATCCCTAGGCCACTAAAGTCATCGCTTGAAGCCCCATTTTTTTTTTGGGGGGGGGGGGAAGGGGGCCATTTCAAAAAAACAATTACTTATAATGTTATTTTTTTTAAAAAAATTATATATACTATGAATGCTATGATTTCTACTAAGGAAATTGCATATGAGATGAATATAAACCTGAATTTCATAAGAAACAATTTGAAGAAAATATGGTTAACGAAATCACAAAGTCCCTTGAAGAATCTTTTAGAGTTGATTTCTTTATACATGACTTCAAAATAGATTTGAACCAATTGAAGCATATGAAAATATTTTCGATCTCTTATTTAGTGGTAAAATATTGAATCACTAGATGGTGAGAATTTTAAAAAATATTGTCTTAACCTTGAACTTTCTTTAACACATAATAGTTATTCTGATAGTTATGAAAATATTTTTTTGAATTAAAAGTGTTAAGAGAAATAATAGAAGTAGAAGATAATGATCTAATGAAAATACTCAATCAAATAAAAAGACTTGATTATTTTTCAAATATACATATTGCTTATAGAATAATGTTAACCGTTCATGTAACGTTTGCCTCAGCCGAAAGAAGTTTTTTCCAAATTAAAATTGATTAATCTTCTTTAAGATCAACAATGTCTCAAGAGAGATTGAATGAATTAGCTATATCATTTTAAAAGGAATTATTAAAACAAATTGGTTTTAAAACAATACTTAATGACTTCGCATCTAAAATAGCTAGAAAAATAAATTTTAAATAAAAATATATATGATGAAAAAATGAAATATTAGGACTCCTCTCTTCAGCTTCGTTTTAGGCCCCTAATGTTGTTGAATCGGTCTTGTACCGAAAAAAAAATTCATATCTAAAATTAAAACCAAAAATCACTAATTAAGAGAGATGCAACATCAACCATTGCTTACGTTACATCTTTTGATGGTTAATGAAATAACAATAAGTAAATTAAACACCAAAAAAAAAAACAAAATTATCCCGTGCCTTTGTATCAAATACATCATGAATACCCTCTCAATTTTATAAAATTATTAAAATTATATTTTATATCACATCATATTTATGCCATTTAAGTATAATGAATCAAATATCCAAACAAAAATAATTTTTATATTATAATTCTTGCATTATCAATTCCTCTATTACTAGTCCCAATACTATAGCCCCTTCATAACTTGTTTTTAAACCACGACTAACGTTATTATTGAAAGAAAAACTAACAGTTTGTTTGGCCCAAAAAGTACTTTTGAAAAAAAAAATTATATTTAGCTAATTAATTTAAAAAACATATTTGAATAATAATTTGTATTTGATCAAATTTTTAAGAAGTGAGTTTAAGTATATATATTTTTAAGTATTTTTCCAAAAAAAAAAAAATGCTAGTTTCTTCTTCTCAAAATCAACTTTTGCTTTTACTCAAAAACGCTAATTTTTCTTCTAAAAGATCAGTCGAACAACGCAATCTTTAAAAAAAGTAATAACAATAATAATTTTTAAAAGGAAAAAGAATTAAATATACCTTTAAACAATTCAAAATGGGATAGTTTCACCCTCCATCTTTGGCTAAAAAATACACTCTAACTAGTAAAATAAATCAAAAATATCATACATTTTTTTCTAACCATTACTCCAAATTAAGAATAATCAATTTTGCACTTAAACTATACAAAATATTTGCCATTCATCTAAGGCACAAGACAAATTCTCTTAACTGTGCAAATTTGAACAAAAATTTATATTGGAGATATTATGATAGTAGTTTGACTATTTCAGGTGACAATTAATAACGCCCTACCCCCCCGCCCCCCAAAACCCAAAAATGAAAAAGAAGAATATTGATCCATTTTTTCTTGTTTGAAACAATTATTAGAAAAAAAAGTATTTTAAATTATTTCGATGGTTAGAAGGTATTTTGAGATAAAAAAATATTATCATAAAAGTATTTTCTTAAAACTAAAAATATCATGAGAGATGACATTGATCCATTTTAAATACTCTTTCCGTCCATCTTTAATTGTCCACTATACTAAAAATAAGTGTTCAACTATACTTGTTCAATTTAAAAAATCAAGAAATAATTTACCTATTTATATTTATTTTGTCCTTGCTATTAAATACTTACTAGAATATTCAATATATAAGAGACTAAGAGCCCGTTTGGATTGGCTTAAAATAATAGCTTTAAAGTCAAACTGAAATGACTTTTAAGTCGAAAAATAAAAAGTAGGGGAAACCTACTTTTAATTTTTAACTTATTTTAAGTTATTTTTAACATTGTCAAATATTTTCTAATTTTTTTTAACTTATTTTAAATTATTTTTATTTTTATCAAACACTTTCAGAAGTCAAAAACTGACTTAAAAATAAATTTCACCAATTCAAACACCCTCTAATACATTTTCGAAAGCATTAAATTTTATAGATTCAAAAGATACTATTGTAATATTACTTTTATTATTAGAGGTATGTCAAGTCTCGACAATTATAATTAAACTAAAACCCTGTCATTTTCACTTTTTGTTTGGCTTACCTGCGACTCCGTCTCTCAATTCTCTCATCTTTCTTCTTCTTCTTCTTCTTCTTCTTCTTTCTCTCTCTGTATTCATTGATCAAAATTCAAAAACAGGCTTTGAATTGGTAATTACTACATTAATTTTTATCACTTTTTTCTCCTTTTTCTTTTTTTTCATACAATCAATCATTTTATTTTTGCAGTAATTTTCTGGATATTTTTTCAAGAATCAAATGTCTGCCTTTCCAGTGAGTTTCTTATGACTACTGTTTTTTATTTTCTATTAATTAGTAATATTTTATGTAATTCAATAGCTTGAATATTTGAATGGAATTTTTTATTTTATTTTACGTTGAATTTCTGTCCCCCTCCATAATAGCCGTTGTTTCAGGACGTTTACCAAGTCTTCTTTGTGTTTGATTTGTTCTTAAACGTGTTGATATTAGACTAGTGTCGTATTCAAGGGTTTTAGGTGAGGAAATGTCGTAAAGTTTGAATCTTTAAGTTGTTTGATTCAACTTTGAACAGCTACAAAGGGAAATTTCATTTCAATTCTAGATAGAAAGATAATTTTCTCAAAGTTCACTTTTGGTCATTTCTTTGTTTCAACTTTGAGTAGACACCAAAAGAGGCATATTTGAGGTTGTTGTTACTTTTTCTTGAATGATTCTTATGTGGGTTTCTTGAATTCCAGATAAAAATTTGATCTTTTTCACCTCAAAGTTCACTTTTGGTTCTTTCTTGTTTCAACTTTGAGTAGACACCAAAAGAGGCATTTTTAAGGTTCTTTTTACTCTTCCTAGAATGATTCTCATGTGGGTTTCTTGAATTCTAGATAAAAAATTGATCTTTTTCACCTCAAGTTCAGTTTTTGATGATTTCTTTGTGTTTCTTATAGGTATAGGTCATCTGGTTTGTCATTGAATTTGTTCAATTTTAGTTTAGACTTGGGTGTCTTGTCCCTATGGTCAGCATATCCCAAATTGAGCCTTTCTTGAACATACACACCCTATATGGCTGTGATTGGTTACTTTGAAGTTTAGAAATGTTGGAGGTAGATGAGAAGGATAGGTTACCAGCTGGTGGGAATAGGAAAACATATGCAAGGTCTATTTCGTGGTCCGATAGGTCCCCTACCAAGTCCAGTGTCAAACCACAATGGAACAGCAAAGCACGGGCTTGTTTGCCACCCCTTCAGCCTCTTTCCATTACTAGACCAACTGCTGAGGAGTGGCCTAGGGCTGGATCAGATGATCTTGGTGTATGGCCTAATCCCTCTACTCCTGGTGTAAGGCTTGGATCATTCAGCACTCATGAAGGTTCAGCTACTAAGCAGGCTCCGCGAGAATTTGAATTCAAGAAAGATAAGCTTGCTTTCTTCAATAAGGAATGTTCTAAGATTGTGGATCACATCTATTTAGGAAGTGACACTGTGGCAAAGAATCGAGACATTCTCCGTGAGAACGGCATCACTCATGTCTTAAACTGTGTAGGGTTTAGTTGTCCTGAATACTTTAAGGATGATCTTGTATACAAGACACTTTGGCTGCAGGATAGCCCCACTGAGGACATCACAAGTATTCTTTATGATGTCTTTGATTATTTTGAAGATGTTCGTGAACAAGGTGGGAGAGTCTTTGTACACTGCTTCCAAGGGGTGTCCCGATCAGCCTCCTTGGTTATTGCATATCTTATGTGGAAAGAGGGGATGAGCTTTGAAGATGCATTCCAGCATGTCAAAGCTGCAAGAGGAGTGACAAACCCGAATATGGGTTTTGCTTGCCAATTGTTGCAGTGCCAGAAACGAGTGCATGCTCAACCTGTAAGTCCTACTTCTGTGCTAAGGATGTACAGGATGGCACCTCACTCCCCATATGATCCCCTTCATTTGGTGCCAAAGATGCTGAGTGAGCCAGGAGCTGAAGGACTCGATTCTCGTGGAGCCTTCCTTGTTCTTATTCCTTCTGTTATATACGTGTGGATAGGGAAGCATTGTACCTCGGTAATGTCAGATAATGCCAGGGCTGCAGCCTTTCAGGTAATCCGCTATGAAAAGGCCCAAGGTCCTGTTTTAATTATCAATGAAGGCAAAGAGCCTTCTGATTTTTGGAGTGCTCTTAGCCAGGAAAGCTTCTTTTCTGGTGGTTGTGGCAAAGAAAAGACCAAGGTGGACGCCAGTTTATTAGCTGAAAATGACTTGATTACTGATAATATCAGCCAGTGTATTGGTCAAAAGAATGAATATGATCTTGATTTTGAAATTTTCTGCAAAGCACTCGCCGGTGGGGTTGTTCCACCTTTTCCATTGTCAGGTACTGAATCTGAGACATGTCTTCCCGCAAGACAGAATGGATGGAGTAGATTGAGACGGAAGTTTTCCAGTGGAATAATGAAAGAATTTATCACAGCTTCCAAGTTATACAGTCATACTGGCATAACAAGTCCTGTACTTGATAAGATGGACACAATTAAAGAACTCTCTCCTGCTTTGCCTTCATCACCTTCAAGTCCTCAGTGTGGATCACCAGATTCTTTCTCTTCTTATGCAACCAGCAGTCCAAGTTGGACAAAGGATCCTTGTAGAGATGTGGAAAACCCTGGTCTTGATATAGAACCTGCGCTAGCGCCATCTCCTTCATTTAGCTCACTTGATTCTCTCTCTTGTTTTCTTGTTAGTAAACCAAAGTCTAATACCACATCCCCCTCACTCTCACCTTCAACCTCAGATTACTCCAGTTCTTTCACCTTTTCTCCCTCCTCTTCCAATTGGTCTGACTTGACATACCTATCTGCACAGCCTTCACCCACGAGATTTGAACATGAGGATCCTAATTTTGTGAAGAATGATTTCTTCAAAGTAAGTTCATCTTTACTTTGTAAAGGATCACCCTTTCCAGCATCAGAGGAAGCATTTCCAACCAGTCGTGCTCTTAGACGGGCAAACAGTTGTTTACAGTACAAAGAAACTTCCCCTTCACTAGCAGAGCGTAGAGGTAGTCATCCTCCTCCTATGATGATGTTACGTTCCAATGATGATTCCGCTCAAATTTCAGTGAAATTGGTGAGAACATCATCATTTTCTCTTCCTAATTTTGAAGACGATACAATGAAGTGTGTCGAGTGTGACAGCCTTAATGACGGAGATTTTGTTGATAGTAGTAAAGAGGAGCTAATGTTAGATGCTGAGAATTCGATTACTGACAATCAACTCCAAAATGGAGTTCAACCTGTACATGATGTATCTGGCAGTTTCAATGACCATTCAATTGACATTCCCATCCGAGTTGCAGAAACAACTGATATAGGTCTTTATCAATGGCCTTCTATGCATAAATTAGGCTTGTCTTCTGTGGTTTTCGATTCAAGGTCCGTTTATATCATAGTCATTCCTGACTTGAGTTTAGATGAAAATAGTTCCAGTAGTTTGTACATCTGGATTGGGCGTGATGTGCAATGGAAGGAAAGTTCAGATCAAGTGATCAACAATGATTCCATGTGTGAAGATAATCATGTCCATTGGGAGAAAGTTGGACACGGTTTTCTTATTCAGAAGGGCCTGGCCACTAGCTCTCTAGTTCAGGTACTTATTCTGCCTTTTTTTAATTAAAAACGAAACAGAATTGGTAACGTATGATCTTTCCTTATATGTTTGTTGTTACTTACTTGAATAGATGCAATTGTCCTACGTTAAAATTTATCAAGTGGACATTGATCTAGTCGTGCATTGTCATTTTTTCACAAATGATTAATTAGAACTACTTGTTATTTGACTTGAATGCAGATAGTGAAAGAAGGTGAGGAACCTGAGCAGCTTCTTAAGCATCTGCCGTGTTTCTCATTTGATAAGGCATTAGATGTTGGGGTCAAGTAGGTTTTGATAAAAACACCGCGGATACCATCTGAGGTATGCAAAATCCTTGCTTTAGTCCTTCTGGCAAGGGTCTTTGGTTAGTGAGCATCCCAAGCAGTAAAAGTTGAAGGTTTCTGCTTGTGTGATGTTGAATGATACAAGGAGAGGATTAGATTTCTCTCGTCGAAGGACATGTACAGGGAAGAAGTTGCTGTATAGGAGGAGTTGATAAGTATATATACTACTCTTGTTGAAAAATAAGTATACTGGTCCCCTTTCCCTGTCCATACCATCCAACTACATTCAGTAACAAAAGGTGTAATGTAATAGTCCCTGCATTGGGACATTTAGCATTGTTACATACCCAAATTCTCTTAAATGTTTTCTATTATAAATTGTTCAATGTAGATTGGGGCTTGTTTGGCTCCACAGCTATTGGAATATGAATGTCCATGGATAACAAAGATATAAACTGTTTTGTCCTTAAAGAACTTTGATTAGACTATATTTGGTTGAACGTGAGATATTTGAAGTTGAGGCTGAATATTATATCCACCAAAGGAAAATACTACTCTCTGTCCCAATTTATGTGACTTACTTTCTTTTTTAGTCAGTCCCAAAAAAAATGACACATTTCCATATTAAGTAACAATTTAACTGTAAAATGTCTATTTTTCTCTTAATGAAATGATTTATAGCCACACAAATTTTTATCATTCATTTTGAACCACAAGTTTTAAAAGTTTTCATTTCTTTCTTAAACTCCGTGCCGAGTCAAACTACCTCACATAAAATGGGACGGAGGGAGTACCACACTAGATGTTGCATGTTGGAAGAAATAAAATGGGTTTATTCAGAAAATTTGATTGGATTACAAATTCTTGAGTGCATTGTGACAACCCACATAAATTGAAGAAATAGATTTTGGTTATTAGATTTATTACACCTATGTTTCTGGGATTTACCAGCGAAGGTAGAGGTAAAATCTTGTACACATAACATAATTCTTCTCGGACTACACTTGTGGCGTATATAGCCTTGTAAACACTATTATTTTCAAGCTCTACTTATGAAATTACACGGGTATGTAGTCGTATGTTTCTTAGGATTTAAAGAGAGTACATACGTGTAGGAAAGATGGAGGATTTAGGATGAAGAGGAAGTGGGGATGATGAGTGATGAAGATGAAGAACTATAATCTAGAAACATGCCTACACGATTATTTTTAAATTGAAGCATAAATAATTAATGTAATAAACACTGTATGCTTGTAAAAATAATTAAATAAATCAGTGAGGGAAAATTAGTCAAATGATTATCTACATTAGTATTGTAATGAAGCAAAAGAACTGTTACAAAAACATCAAACTGGGAGGTAAGTGTAATATCGTACACCACGTGGAAGGTAAGTGAAACGAGGCCAAACCTAAGAGGTCTTCAAAATTATAAATAAAGGTACATCCGACGACTATATTTCATTCCAAAAATTTAACAGGATCCCAGAGTTTTACTGGAATGCAGATATATGGCTTTTCATATCCTTGAATTCCTTTACACCAATGCACAACCCGAATTTAAGAAACAGTGCATAAAGGGGTGCATCAACAACTCCATTTTTACACTGCAAACCTTCCCGGATAATTTCATAATCGAGAAGTTAAAACATAGTTAATTCTCTTCGTTAGTGAGAATTTTGCAAAACTTAGAGAATGAAGCAGGTTAATATACGATAATATGAACAAAATATGCAACTGCAACTTCATCTCATATTTTCTTTTGGGATCTTAGGAAGGCCATTGTAGGGCCTAGCGCAGTGCCCCTCATGGGTCGATATGACCACGGGCTCTTTCCAGTACTTGCCTTATCCCAACTACTTTCCTGAGCTAATTCTGCCTTCTTGGACTTTAGAGTATCACTGAATTGCTCCCACAGGTTTACTCCGCCATTTTCTGTAATTCACATTGATCATTGGTGCATAGTCAGGATCTAGCTATGAAATTAGAGACTAATGGTTTTCATAAATTACTACTCATCTCAGGAATCCGTAAAACATTAGTTCACACCTGAAGGGGTAGATAGTGTTTGTTTTCCATTGCTTACTTCTCCAGCTCCTGCAATAGTAAAATGTAAGGTCACAAAAGAAAATGAAAAGGACCTAGATTTCATGTTTACATCTCCCAGCTTTCACAATCCCATCCTGTAAACATGGGAAAACAATGAAATTACCAGGAACTGGGGTTTCAGTTTTCTTTTTACTGCTTCTAAGCACTGGAGTGGACTCATTGGCAGCAGAACCTTCAATAACCACACCAGGTACTTCTGCTTGATCTGGAGTACTATTCATCAGACGAACTTCAAGAAGTGCTGAAAATTCTATCTGCAAAAGGCCGTGGTTTTGTATTGAGAAGAGTCATATGCATTAAACCTATAGACTCTGCATCCCAGAGGATGACAACTTAAGTTCACTCGAAATATGCATAAATATAGATCACCACGCATAGGAGTGAGTCAATTTTACTGAAGTACCTCCAGAGATCCGTCTTCATTATAAATAGAGCTATCTGGTTGCTTTGAAGACTCATCCTCAGTAGAAATGACTGGAAATTCAGCTACTGGCATCAGCAAAACTCTATTTGCTTCAGAATTATACGACGATATTTTCCCAACCTACAGCAGAAGGGAACATCAAATTTCACAATCACGATGTACATCAATCAGAAGTACATATTATGATGGAGACAAGTTTTACCCGATAAGAGGAAACTTCAGGGGTCCAGGTTGATGATAACTCAAGCAGCCGGTATGCAATCACAAGACCTTCCTGCCAAATTAAAAAACAGTTTTTCTAAATACTAAAATTGTGGTCCACCCAAATCAATACATCAACCACCCAATGTCCGGAGTTTTGGGTAGTGTAGATTGTCAGCTGCTTTGTGTGAGTCTCATTAGTCTAAAGTTAACAGCAGATATCAGTGCAACAGATACTGAAGGCTACAGATGCATTAAAAACAAGAACAAACCTTGGGCAGGCCAGAAAGAAAAGGAAGTGTATTGAAGTCGATTGATTCATGAAAATGAGGCTCCTTTTCACCATTCACCATCTCAGGATGTTTTTTGTTTGAATCTAGAGAATCATTCTTTTGGGAAGATGGAACATTCTCTTCGCCCCAGTTCTGTCTATTACGATTCATTATCTCGGGATGTTCTTTGTTTGAACCAAGAGAATCATTCTTTTGGGAAAACAAGCTTTTCTCTTGGCCCCATTTCTGTCTGTCACGATTCATCATATCAGGATGTTCTTTGCTTGAACCTGGAGAATTATTCTTTTGGGAAAATGAAACACTCTCTTGGCCCCATTTCTGTCTCTTACGATTCATTATCTCAGGATGTTCTTTGGTTGAACCAATAGAATCATTCTTTTGGGAAAATGAGTCTTTCTCTTGGACCCATTTCTGTCTCTCACGATTCATCATATCAGGATATTCTTTGTTTGAACCTAGAGAATCAGTCTTTGGGGAAAATGTAACTTTCTCTTGGCCCCATTTCTGTCCCTTCTTCTTGCTCATCATACCATTCCACTTGAAACTTTCCTGCACGTAACTTGGAAATTCATTACGCAAGAAGAGAAAAGTTATCCCATTAAGAAACACATATATTTCATTTCACGAAACATGCCTACCACTGGTCATGCCTGACACACTGTAACCTATGTCATTATGCTAATCAAAGATGATGCAATTTCCAACAGAAAATGTGTCAAATAAATTTTACCAAGGAGACCAATTTTCTGGTTTTTGCACCATCACATCACATCTAGAAGGAATACTTCAAGCATTTTTGTATGATTTCAGTACAGAAATGAATTATCTAATGGAAGAAAAAAGGAAAAGGGGAGGACCAAGCATCCTACTAAAGATAATTAAATACCTATACAGCAACTAGTGGCCACTTTGTAGAGGACAAGCATGTCTATGCAATGACAATTAGTGAAGCAATTCTTAAATATCCACCAACAATGAAACACTATAGAAACATTGATAACGATTATAACAGATAAACACAAATATTTAAATGGATGAAAATAGGGTTGCCAGCTTATTTTCTTTTCTCCAATCTGTTAGTATAATACAACATATAGCATTTGTTATCCAACATCTGAGATATGGAAAAAGCCAATAAGATTAATAGCATTATGCAAGCTTCTAGAAAATATGTATGCATGACTTTGTTTTGTAGCACAAACTCATTTTCAGGCCATGTTCATCATGGAAAAATTATGTTTGAATCCTCCCTCTTTATCTTTCACGTAACCTTCCACTGAGCCTTTAAGCAATACGAAGTTAAATTTTTAATTGCTTGACACATTGGGATTCTGCACAAGATATTCTTGAGAAATGGTATGCTAAAAAACTTGGATTTCAAGATTTAAAACTCCTTTCAGAATAGAGATACAACATTGAAGAAGAAATCTAGAAAAAGAGCATCACAGAACAACTTGAGCAAAACGTACCACTTCTTCTCGACTCTGCTTTGAAACTTGTTCTGCAACATCCAGAAGATATATCCATATGTTAGATCTTTTCCACAAAATTAAAAAAGATACAAGACTGACACCATTGAATCAGAATCATTTTTTATAGAGGAAAAAAACAGAATCAGATTCATTTTCTAGAGCAGGCAAGGAATAATACACAATCCAAATCCCATCACCTGCAAAAAAGAGGAGAGGGAAAAGGAAGACAAGCGAACAAGGAAAACCAATAACTAATAAGCAACTACAAGTTATATTAAACCAAGCCCCACTGCACCAGTCATATGCCGCACCGAATTTGAGCATCTTATACCTATTCCCTTGGCACGGACGGAACAAAGATTAATGCCAATGACAAGCACCAAAATTATGACCCACTTAAACTTGAATCATTTGATAAAATACAAGATTGCATAATAGTTACTGAAGTGGGAGAGAGTTACAGGTAAATATAAATATGTCTGTATTGGAAGACCACGTAGACTTAACAAAGAGGGGTACAAGACCTTTTCCAACAGGTTCAAAGCGAATATGCCCAGGCCTTATTTCAACTGGAACAACTTCATCTTCTGTGTCACTATTTTGACATGATTGTCCACACGATTTGCTTTTCTCTACTGCATGTTTTTCTTCGTTGGTATCTCCATTCTTATCTTCACCATGAAATTGCTTCCATTGCAGCTACATACTCATGTATTGTCAACAGAAACAGAAGTATAGAGCAGATAAATAATTTGTTTATGTTAGATCACTCACAAGTCCCTTTGGTTGGCCAGTTACCTCTTCTTTTTTAGTTTTAGTTTTCTGCTGCTTCCCATTTCGCTGCAAAGTTTGTTGAGTCAAGTTTCCAGTACATGACGCAGAAGTAACAGGAATGTAAGTTTTATCAATATACATTACTAC